GATAGATAGATAGATAGATAGATAGATAGATAGATAGATAGATAGATGGATGATATAGATATAGACACAGACATAGAAATGTCTCCAGGAGACATGTAGATATAGACAGATAGATAGATCCTGGGGACATGTCTTGAGCACCTAATGAAGTGCTGACTGGATTCCAGGAACATTTTTTGTATACAAAATGTCTGACCTAACGAATCCAAAATGGACTTCCAATTGAAGGATTCATTCAAATAAATAATGGTCTATGAAGACCATGTTTATATGAACTAAAAGTTATCTACAGTTGATTTTATTGGACTGTAGTTGTAAAATGGTCCCTCCCCCCTCCACTCAAATATTTCAGGAAAACAGCAATAATAACTTACATTTGCACAGATTTGTAGAGCATTTTTCTCAAGAGGTACATTGGTTTAGTGAGTGGCCCAGGATGTCATTCTGACCTGACTATGGGACACTGGGCTAGCCACTTGATCTCTCAGTGTTCCTTTATAAATTGCAGAACTGCTTTGGAGGAGAATTGTTTCTTCACTGGAAGTTCCTGATGCTGATGAACTAACAGGCCCAATTTAAAAAGTCATTTCCTTACAATAATCTATTGAGATGAGCATTGTTATTATACCCGTTTTAAGGCTAAGGAACCAAGACTCTGAGAGATGAAGTCACTTGTCCATGATGCCATAACTAATGAATTCCAGTGCCCTATCTACCACTATAAACACCTCACTGGGGTCTAAAAAATTTAAAACAGATTGATTCTCATAAGCAATCTTGGTCCCAGAAAACAAATAATGAAATATATTTCCCTCCTCTTTGCAGAAAGTTGGTGGGGGGGGAATTATTGGGGTAAAAGGTCACATAGGTTTTAGTTGGTTTTATTTATTTTTTTCTTTGTAATAAGGGAGGGTTCAATCCTGGGAGTGGAGGCCAAAAGGTTATAATTAAATCTAAAGCTATCAAAAAATCTTATTAAAATAAAGTGTGTTTTTTTTTAAATCTATGATATGGAGAGTAGACTTAATTGTATACCAGTCCAATAGGCCCTGATGCCATTATTTCCACTTAGCACTACCTTCACCTCTTCATTCCACTGAAATGCATTAATCTTCCAGGTAACAATCTTAGATATTTACACTTGAACAAGCTCCTTCCATATAAACTGTGTACTGAAATTTCAGCTGTAGCTTGGTTTGATTGTGGGCCATGGTTGAATATTAGTTTACCCACTCTATCAAGGGCTCTGGAGAACTGGAAAACTCGTTTTCCTGGGGCATTACGATGTCTGGAGAATGAAGCCCAGTGTTTTGAAACAAGTGTAATGCAGTGAAGCACTTGCCAGGTCAGAGATCAGGATGACCTTGGAGCATTGCAGTATTCCAGACCTCCATCAGCTAGATAAATGGGCTTTATTCTATGGGAGTGAGAAAATGTTTTTGCAATCTTCTAACGTAGCCCTAGCAATTCCAAGTTAGCAGTGACACAAAACATTTGGAATTCAGTGGTGTCTATCAACACCCATATTTGCCATGAAAAGTGAAGAGCAAAGGTTGTAGGAAAGGGTAAGGACAGGCTGGAAAAAAATAATTATGGAATAATAAAGGAACTAAGTGCATCATTGTGTTAATTTGATACTACTTAGCATTCTTCTTGGAAGCACAGTGGATCCTTAAACCTTGTCTCTTGCTAAATGAACTTTGGAAAGCACAAAGGAAGAACCTTGAGGCTTTGTACTGTATGTGTGTAATCTTGAATACTGATGCAGCCATTTGAATCTGTTTCCTGTTGTATGTTTCTATATTCACCATCTTTTATGCGAACTAAAAAAGTTGTTGTTTTCTGTATGCAGAAATCGATATTTTTACTGCTTTCCTTTTTAGCTATTCTGGGAAATCACAATCAACATTCATCATGATCACTAAAGGAATACATATAATGATTCAGCATGGTGTCCTTGAGAAAGGCAGTATGCAGGCAGCCACAGGCAATCCAGAATCGCATCCCAGTTTTACCAGCAACACACTCACCGTGTGACTTTGGGCAACTCTGGGGCTCAGTTTCCTCAGTTGTAAAGTGAAGAAACTGAACTGGATGGTCATCAAGGTCCCTCCTATCTCTCTAATTATGGAATGTCCCTGGCTGGGATTGGAGGGTTATCATCCTCATAGATTCAAAGGATACTCTCTGTGTCCCAACTCCTAAAATTATAGTTCATGAGTTCCTACCAGTGAATTTACCATTAATAGTCAGCCATTATGGACAATCAGAAAAAAGCAAAGGCACTAAGATAGCATGATAATGAAGTTACAAAACATTCTCTGCCTTAAATCTGAGTCCCATTCTTCTACAAATACACATATTTGTAGGAAGAATGGTCACAAACTTAAGAGTAAGATGGTAGTAAAGCAACTCACAGCTCTCATTCTACAGGTCTCCAATGTCTTTTTCTCATCTTAAAATACTCTCATACTTTTCTCCTATGTAATAATTATTATAATTAATAATATTAGCACCTATTTCTCAGGGTTGTTATGAGGATCAAACAAGATAACATTTGTAAAAAGTGCATAGTGCAGTGCCTGGCACATAGTAGGCACTCTATAAATGCTTAAACCCTTCCCTCCTTCCCCCTTCCCCTGGAAGCAGTTTTTCTAGTGGGCAGGCTACTCAGCTGGGCTCCCACCCCAGTTTCTCCCTTGAAGCCATGGTTGGCTCTCTTCTCTGGTGCCAGGGGTCATGCTACTTGAAGGAGCTTCTTGACTTGAGTATTGACTTCTTCCAGGGCTAGGAGTTTTAGTATTTTTTAAGAGCCTACTAGGTAGGGCATGGTGAATCTTCTTCCAGCCAGTGCCGAGCTCCTCTTCTAATTCAGAGAAAATATTTACATTCTAAAAAGCTAACAGGGCAAGATATGTCTTTGAACTTTGTTAGCATATTAATACACCTTTATTTTCCTCAACTGAATTGGGCAAAGAAGGGAAATAAAGCTCAAATATAAGGCTTTGAATGTTTCAATAGACTCCTTTTGTTACCAGGGTGCAAGACTTGGAACGCTGACCAATCCTTTTGTCAATGATTGTGGGTATCCCTTCTTGATACTAAAACAAATCCAAAAGACATAGAAATGCTGTTAATGAGTGCTTCGTCTAAATACCACCAAGCAAAAGCTCCGTTAATATTTTAAATGAATAGATTGATTGTTCCAGTGCCATGTATTTTATAAAATGTATAACTGTGTGATCATCATTAGTATTAAGTTAATAATGCATGAATATCGGCTACAGGGATTAGGGTTGTTATTGTGAGTAGAAATGAAATCTGATCCTTAGAAGACCAGTCACCTCAGGCTATATCAGAACTTATCATCAGCACCATAGATTTAGAGCTGAGAGGGCCTTAGAAGTCATTCAGTCCAACCCTATTATTTTACAGATAAGGAAACCAATGGAAGAGTAACTGTCCAACATGGGTGATTGTATCATTGTGTAAAACACTTGACTTGGAAACTCATTCCATTTGCACAGATTGCAGATTGGCATTATCACCTACAACTTAGGATCTTAGTGAGATAGCTGAGGCATTGAGAGTTTAAAGGATTTGCCCTTGGTCACTTAGTATGTATGAGATAGAGAACCTGAATTCAGGATGCCAAATTGCCTCTCGGTGTAGGTTGGGCAAAACCAAAACACACAGCCCACTTAATATGTATGTTTCTTAATGTTTGTATGTAACTGTGTGTATGTAGCTGAAATCTCCTATCTCTGTTGTTTCTTCATATTAGAATGTGGGTTCTTTGAGATCAGAGACTCTTACTTTTTTCTTTTTATATCCTAGAGTTTAGGAGGGTGCTTATAAATGTAATTCATTCAAACTTACATAAAGAGCTAACATGATTTCTTGTTTGTTTGTTTCTACTTTAGAAACTGCCAAATTTCGGGCCTTACCTTGAGCTGCGGAAAAAAATTATAGCAGAGAACAAGATGAAACTGAAGGAGCAAAATTTAGCTTTGTCACCTCTGGAAAAATCCTACTTTGTTCCCAAGAAGCCCATTCCAAAAATCAAGGTAACGAAATTAAAGCAAATCCCCCGACAGAAAGAACTGCTTGTTGTAATGTTCCAAGTGTTCATTAACCTGAAATGATTTGTGTAAGCTCACAAAAAGACACATGGATGTGTCCTGCTATTAATCCAGTCACATTGCATAATCATTACTGGCATTTATTTAACACTTTGTACTTCCCAAACTGCCATCATCTGCCTATAGCACAAAGTAGCTGGGCCTATTAAAATCCACAAAATTGCAAATATGGAAGAAACCTCAAAGATTATTTAATCCAACCCTCTACCCAAAATATGAATCCTGTCTATATAATCCCTTAGAAGGGATTATACAGTGTTGGGGGAGCTCATTATCCCCCAAAATAGTTTAAACTGGTTACAATATTCCAGTTGTGGACTATCCAGGGCTTAACATAATCATCATAAATATCACCCAAAAACAAAAGCATCTGGAGGACCTAATCTGCTCAAGTGAATCCTTCTTCCATGACAGTGGCAAACACCATTGGTGAGCATATATCTCTGTTTTATGCCTCAATTGACATTAATAAACAGGGAGATCATCAGACTTGTCTCTGTTGCTATGCCTTTCAAAATATGAGGGGGGATTTAGTTTCCCCCTCTTTCCATATTTGGTATACTCACTGAAAGCAAAGAGTAGATAAGGGAGGTAATGAATTGTTCATGTGTTTGCAAGGTGTTGACTTGACTTGATCTCTTTGTAAAAGGAGAATACTTTTCCCTAAGTGAATCAGAAAAAGCAACGATATTTGCCTGGGCTAAAAAATAGGTCTTGTCCCTGGAAGGAGACCCTTGCAGAGGGGAAGGAGAGAATTTTCTCTAGCAATGGAACTCCTGGCCCGAAAGGAGACACCCTATTTGGCATCTTGAGGCACATTTGTGGGAGCAGAGAAACAGGAATGCAGAAAGGTAATCACTCAAAGAAGTCATCTTTGAGGGGTTATTCTTCTGGAAGCGAGGATGAGCTCTGTGGACTTAAGAAGAAGTTGGATCTGGAAATTGAGAACTGAGCTAACCTGATATTAGAAATGCTGTGGGGTATCTTTATGAGGACTCCTCTAGAAGAAAAATAACTTCTAGGCACTACAGTACCAAGGTAGTAACATTGGCCACATGTATTCCCTGCATGTCTGCCTCACTGACATTGTTGTTACTCTAAATTTGTGCCCTTCTTCTCATGGATGGGATACTGTGCATATTAGTGGGAGAAAATGCTGTAAGTTTCTTTGCTAAGAAGTAATTTTGTCTATAGACTGTTTTGGGGAAGCACAGTGGTGGAAGCTCACCGATAACAGTATTTGCAGGGTACTCCCCTCCCCTACTTGATACCTGGTATTAGGCAAACATGTCTGAGCAATTTGGGGAATACCCCGAGAGGGAGTATCCCCATTCCTTCCACTTCTATTTCCTTTCCTCTCAGATTACCTCCCATTTTCACTGTATATATCTTATATGTACATAATTGATTGCTTCTTGTCTATCCCATTAGAATGTGAGCTCTGTGAGGGCAAGGATTGTATTTTGCCTTTGTTTCTATTCCCAGAGGTTAGCTCAGGGCATAGCAGTTAGCTATGGTCAAGGATCAGTGTTTTTGTCATTGTGAGTGCTCCTTTCATTGAAAGAAAATCAAAATTCCTCTATAAATTAAAAGATGGTTTTCATGAGTTATTGTGTCTGAAGGAGTCATCCTCCTTTAAATATCCTTCTGTTGATGAGTCTCTCTGATCTTATCTAAGGTTAGCTGCTTTATAGTCCTAGAGTCTCAGACACTCTCTGGAACAAAAAGCACAGGTTGGAAGAAAATTTATTTGTTCTAGGAACCCTGACCGAACTTCCATTAAATCATTTCAGTACCATTAAATAAATGAATTGTGCATACTGATGGGGATGGGAGGGCCAGAAACTGTTGTGCATTAGCCTCAACCCACAAAGAATAGTACTTTGCAAAACACTTTCTTTTTACTGTAAAACAGTCTTTTTTTAAGTTAGTAGAAACTTCTATAATCTCTTTTTTAATATAAATTAGGAGTTCTCCTGCTCCTTTAAGTACACTCTCAATCTCTGGTCTACTTTCTCCTTGTGTATAAGAAATCCCAAAGAATAAAGTTATTTATATTTTTTAACAAAGGAAGAGTCAACTGCTTCCAAAGGCAATTTGACCTTCTGGGATTTTTCAGTCCTATTCTCTTTTCACATAGAGTTTTGGTATTATTTGAAGAAGGGAGAGAATCGACTCTACTTGCAGTAAGACTGCTACTTCGCTATTAGAAATAAAAGCTACAAAGAGGTAAATAAATCGTAGAAAGTGAAAGTTCAGAAAGTGGGAGTTGATAGAGACATGAAAGTGAAGGACTGGGAAAAAATGAAGACAAGTTTGGACAATCGAAAGGATGAAACCCAATTTTTTGAAAGTCAGACACCTTCACAATCCCCCAGTGAAAGAATCTGACTTTAGAGCTCAGTCCAGAACAAAATATACAGTGTAGTAAACTACAGAAACCCCAGAAAAAATATTAATGACTGACATTTCAGAACTGAGACCACATCTTTGCAGACTTGCTAAGAACCTTCTGCTGGAGGGAATTGTTTTCATTGTTAGTGGGGAGCAGTCCTACTAACCACTGTTCCCAACCAGAGAGGCTGACCACATTCCTTTTGCTATCAGATCTTGAAAAAATATTGTGCCCAAGTAATGTGCAGTGTGGAAGTAGATATGAAACATGTGAAATGGTGACTACTCATCCATTTTAGGTACAATTGTCCCTTGAGGGGATAAAGAATTAAAAGCATTGAGGCAAGTGGTTATTTACCTAATTGATTATAGATTTGGAGCTGTCAGGGACCTTGGGAGTCATCTGTTCAAGCCCTTCATTTTACAGGTGAGCGTACTAAGTTACACCAAGAAAGGCCAGTTGTCTTCCCCAAGATCCTACAGGTAGAGCAGAGCTGAGATTCAAACCCAACGTCTCTGGCTCCACATCTAGTGCTCTTTTCACTATACTTTCTGGCTCCTTCAAAGTTTTCCTGATCTCCAGAGTCCCATTCACCTATAGTCCAAATTCAGGAATGTGGCATCTGATAGAGGTAGAAATTCATTCATTTTTATTCGAAAGGGAAAGGTAGATGTGTTTTCATAGAGCCAATTTATCCTCCACTCAGCTGCCAAAGCACAAGTCACCCCTCCACTGAATAAACAACAATAGCTCCCTATTAGGTCCAGGATCAGATATAAAGTACTTTGGTATTTAAAGTCCTTCACACCTTGGTCCCTCCCTGTCTTTCCAGTCTTTTTTGTTGTTGCTGTTTTCACTTCTATTTTTTATTCTTTTAATTAACAAGCATTTCTTTTCTCTTCCTCCAATTTCCAGTGAAAGAAAAGATGAAAAGCATAACCTCTGTAACATGTATGCATAGTCAAGCAAAACATATTCCCACACTGACCATGTCTAAAATATCTATGTCTCATTCTGTCTTTTGATTCCATCACTTAGTCTCTGTCAGGAAAGGGGCAGCATGAATACATCATCAGTCCCCTAGAATTGTGGTTGGCCATTGCAAGGTGAAATGAGCAGAACCAGGAGATCAGTTTAGAAAATAACAACACTGTAAAGGCAAAAATGTTTTCCTGTCTTCTTACCCTTTACTCCTCCTCTTTCCTCTTCTATGATGCAGTGACACAGGCCTATTTGCTGTTCCTCATGCATAAAGCTATCTCCCAATTCTATGCCTAGAATGCTGTCCCTCCAAACTTCTGCCCCTAGGTCTTCCTGTCTTCTTGCAAGCTTCAATTCAAAGTTCATGTCATGAAAGAGGCCTTTTCCTATATACCCCCCTACCCCCATTCTGAAACTATGTAAGCTTCCATTTATATCATATATGTGTGTGTATTATATATAATGTACATGATTTTATATATATATATATCATGTACATAGTTTATGCATATTGTCTCCCCAATTAGAATGTTACCTCCTTGAGATTGCAGAACCCATTTTGGGGAGGTTTCTATTTGTATTCCCAGCACTTAGCACAGTACTTGGCACTTAGTACTTAATAAATTATTATTAACTAACTGAAAAGGATCCAGCTTTAAATTAAAAGGTAGAAGGAGCCTCAGGGATTATTGAATCCAGTCCCTTCAATTTACAGATCAGGACACTGAGGCCAGGACAAATTAGATGACTGGCCCAGGGTCACATAAATGGCAGGTCTCTGAAGCAGGATTCAAATCTAGGTCTGATCTTCCTGGCTTTGAGCCCAGCAGTCCATCCACTACACCATGGTACTTTGGCCTCCTCTGGCATCCACACATCACTTGTGACTTCAAACAACCCCTATCCTACTGGATTCAAGAGATTAATTATGTACTTATACCCTTAGCACCTCACTGAGTGCCTGGCAAATACTCAGCACTTAATAAATGCTTGTTGATTGATTGATTGATTTCAGAGCAGAGTCAAAGAGGTTCAGAGGAATTGAGTAGAATATAAATAGAATAAACTAGTCCATTCCTCAGGGATCAAAGACTACAATATGGCATAATGGAAAGAGAACTGAACCAAGAATCCAGAAACCTGGGCTGTAGTCTTCATTCTGCCACTCCCTACCTATGTGGCCTTGAACAGGTGACAACCACTACAGTCAAAATTTGTTCATTTATAAAATAAGAGGGCTGGAGAGTAGATGGTCTGCAAGACCCTTTTGAGTTATAGATTACACGAGCAACTCTCTAGAAGATCAATTCCTCATATACAAGACACCTTTTTGGGTTCAGGATTTAAGTGTGGATAAAAGGGGAAGAAACGGTCACTAATTTGTCCTGTAGAAATAGCAAATTTTCCAAAACGGACTTTTAGGACGCTCTGTTGAATACATTGTTTGCTCCCCAAAATCAACAGTTTGGAAATTACTTAGAACACTGCCATTCCCAAGAAAGTTCTAAATTCTTTGGCCGTAAAGCTTATTGTGGAATTGAGATATAAA